TTCTTACATCGTGAGCAAACAACAGCCTGACTCCTTGGTCTAATAAACTCGCTGTTAACAACCCTGGCCATTCTTTTCATTAATAATAATTTGGCTAAACAAAAGCATTTCTGGAAGGGGCCTTTCAGAACAATTTTACCCTGCCTTTCGCTGCCCTTTCAGTAATTCGTCAGAAGTCCTTTGATTTTCAGCAGTTCATATGCGCAAAGTAAAATGTTAATGATTATTTGAAAAAGTATATATGTTTGCAGCCCTTTGCTTATCGGTTGAATTTAAAAGAACGAACGGAACCCGTTAATACGGTGAAAGGAAAAGCTTGATTAGCGATGCGGAATTAAGTGGTTGAAAGAGGCCCAAAACAGAAAAAAATGAACAAGCTTCGGTTACATTAATGACGAGAAGAAGCGAAACAATGAAACAGTGGCAACCAAAGTATTAAATTATTTAAAATCATGACCATCGATCTAAAAAATACTGTAGAGTGTTTCGAAATTTTATTGATTTCGAAATGCTTCGCAAAACTGGCATCGGCGAAATCAAATCTAACAAATAAGCAGGTATACAAACGCAAGTTTCCCGAATTCTAGAGAAATTTGGTTAAATCTCGTGAATATGCGCTTTATGCGTTTTGCTGTGCAGCGCTATAGCGCTGTTACAGCCAGCAAAAACGCATATTATCGAGAGGCTGTCTGTGTGTGTATGTGTTCGGAAAGCGAGTCCATTTTGTCACCCACTTTCATCTCAGCAACCAGGAAAGCTAGAAGGCTGAAACTTCGGATATATGCTTTACCCCGTGTGTCATACTCCCGTTTTAAGATCTTTCTCCATACACGCCTAGACCCCGCGTACGGGATCCCCAAAGAAATATGTTGGCGGGAAACGATTTCGCGGACCAGGCAACGCAGAAAGCTGAAACTTTGCAGGGATATTCTCTACACACGTGCGAGATGAAAATTTTAAACTCAGCTCTCTAAATCCCCAACCACAGCCTCAAGCAGCTCCTGAACCCAAAAATCTTTCGCAACTCGGACCTTAATCGCAATTGCATATGCGAATTAACATGGATTTTTTGAAAAACGACCTCTCGAGCAATACTTCCACTTTTTAGTGAACTGGAAATTTGCATTTTTTCAAAAAATTTGCGTTTATC